AGTGTTCCTTTAATGTGCTTATGTTGTGACTATTCTAGTTTTTCTGTCATTCACAAATCTTCACACAATGTTTTGTCTTGTTCACAGATACACTATATGTACAAAAGAAATTGGGACACCTAAGCTTTACAGTACACCAACAGGGACCTTCACATTTTAAATACATGGACAGTAATATGTAGTTTGCCCCCCTTTGCAGCTCTGACAGCTTCCATCCATCTGGGAAGGCTTTCCACAATATTTTCGAGTTGTTTCTGAGGGAATTGTTGCCCATTCATGGCTTTCGATCTCTGTTCCAGTTCATCCCAAACATGTATGATGGGGGTTGAGATCAGGGCTCTGTGAGGGCCAGTCAAGTTCTTCCACACCAAACGTATCCAACCGTGTCTTTATGGACCTTCTTTTGTGCAGTGTGGGCATAGGCATACTGGAATACAAAAGGGGATTTCCTTGAACTGATTCCACAAAGCTGGAAGCATAGCATTGTACAAAATGTCTTAGTATGCTGAAGCATAAAGTTTCCCTTCACTGGAAGTAAGGGGCCTAGCCCTACCACTTTAAAATAGCCCCATACCATTATCTCCCCTCCACCAAACTTTACAGTTGGCAAAATGCAGTCAGGCAGGTAATGTACTACGGGTATCTGCCAAGCCCATGAGATTGCCAAACAGAGAAGCAGGATTCATCACACCTGATCCAGAGCCCAGTGGTGCCTTGCTTTACACTACTTGATCCGACGCTGGGCATTGTGCTTATTGATGTGAGGCTTGCAAGCAGCTGCTTGGACAAGGAAACCATTCCATGAAGCTCCCGCCACATAGTTTTTGTGCTGATATTAATGCCAGAGGAAGTTTGGAACTCTTCAGTTATGGAATCAGCAGAGCATTGGCGATCTTTCACGCACCATGCGCCTCAGTCGGTGACCACACTCTGTGACTTTAAGTAGTCTTCCACTTCGTGGCTGAGTTGCTGCTCTTCCTAAATGCTTCCACTATTCAATTATACCACTTACAGTTGGTCCATGGAATATCTAGCAGGGGGGAAATTTCACAAACTGACTTATTGCAAACATGGCATCCTTTCACATTACCACATTTGAATTCACCTAGCTCTTCAGATCGACCCATATAGTTTCACAAATGTTTTTAGATGCAGACTGCATGGCTAGGTGCTTGAGTTTGTACACCGATGGCAACGGTACTGATTGAATCACCTGAATTTAATAATTAAGAGGTATTTCCCAATACTTTTGTCCAAATAGCGTACATTTATTCACTAAACATTGAATTACCATTTACAAAATTTAGGCCAAGTGATCGATTTAGTAAAAAAAAATACCATCTCAACTACAACCACAGCTTGCCTGTGTTTGGCAACGTTCGCATTATGCTTGTACGTTTACCAACATTTCCTGTTTAATGAATATTCCCTACATTCATCAGCTATGAAAATGATCCAAACGTAATAGTTTTAATTCCTCCCAACTGCTTTATAAGGATTATCATTTTAATATTCATGGAACACAGTTTTATCACTTTGTACAACTCTACCATATAATTTCCATTGAAAACAGATCGCACCCTATAAAAATGACTCCATTTCTGATTCTGCCAGTATTACATTTTGCTAAGAATAAAGTTCTTGTGTGTAAACTGTATCAATGCTTAATGAGTCACTCTGCTCAACAATACTGTAATTAGATCAAAACGAAATGAGAAGCAGATGTTGGTAATTGTACAGATTCTTATTGGGTTGAAGATATAACTGGCATTTTTTTTCTTTTGCATTTTTTATGGTACCTTTCAGCATTGCAAGATTAAGTACAGTGCAATTTACTTTTCTATGTTCTATAGTTTAACTTACAAATGTTCTCTATATATTCTCAATTATAGGCTACAATAGCCAATATGGAAATACAGTTCTTCAACTCAGTTATAGTCACAGCTTGACTTTTGACCTTTGGGAAGACTAGGTAAATTTCAACCTATTTGAAAGTGGTTGGACTACATTCTGTGGGACAGTGGCAAGGGACTCATTGAACCATAACCACTACAGAATGCATGGCTGCAAAGTTCTCAGTGGACTTTCCATGGAATTCTACAGGGTGCCGGGTGCTTATATTCAGCTGAAGAAATGCTCAAGAAGTCATCTACATAAATAATGTATTTTGTAACAAAATAAAGGAGATACCTCAGATGTGTATTTATAAGATATGTATTTCCATGTCCTACTTGCATTCTAAGTCCTGTCAATCATCATGCCATGAGAGGTGTTTGTGAAATTTGTTCTGCTCATATACAAACACTTCAATTAATTTGGGATATTAGTTATTTCTTAGAAAACCATTTGCAAGTCCTTTACAAAACGTTTTAAAATGTTGAATTCTCTTGGTGTCTGACGGTACTATTAAAATTTTGATCACTCCTCTTTGTCAGGATTGTGATCCCTCAAATTGCAGCATGGACAGTTGTTAAAGGGACACTATAGTCACCAAATGCTTATTGAAGCAGTTTTTGTGTATAGATCATGCCTCTGAAGTTTCACAGTTCAAATCACTCCCATTACGTTAAAAGATTTTAAAAGATTTTATCTCCTGCGCTGTAAATTGCAGGCTTCTGCAGGGTCTAGCAAGCTATTAACAGAGCAGTAGATAGGAAATTACAAATAAAATAGAATTTACAATAAAGGAAGTTTAAACATTAGATGACTCTTTACATGAAGGGTTTAGGAAGGCTGTGTAAGTCACATGCAGGGAGGTGTGCCTAGAGCTGCATAAACAAAGTGATTTAACTCCTAAATGGCAGAGAATTGAGCAGTGAGGCTGCAGGAGCATGATCTATACATCAGAACTACTTAAAGGACCACTCTAGGCACCCAGACAACTTCAGCTTAATGAAGTGGTCTGGGTGCCAGGTCCAGCTAGGATTAACCCATTTTTTTAATAAACATAGCAGTTTCAGAGAAACTGCTATGTTTACAAATGGGTTAATCCTTCCTCCAATTCCTCTAGCTGCTGTCTCATTGACAGCCGCTAGAGGCGCTTGCGTGATTCTCACTGTGAAAATCACAGTGAGAGCACGCAAGCGTCCATAGGAAAGCATTGTAAATGCTTTCCTATGCGACCGGCTGAATGCGCGCGCAGCTCTTTCCGCGCGTGCGCATTCAGCTGAATGGGAGGAACGGAGGAGGATCAGAGGAGGAGAGCTCCCAGCCCGGCGCTGGAAAAAGGTAAGTTTTTAACCCTTTCCTCTCCCCTGAGCCGGGTAGGAGGGGGACCCTGAGGGTGGGGGCACCCTCAGGGCACTATAGTGCCAGGAAAACAAGTATGTTTTCCTGGCACTATAGTGGTCCTTTAATTAAGTTGTTTTGATGACTATATTGTCAGGGCCGGACTGGCCCACCGGGATGCCGGGAAATTTCCCGGTGGGCCGCGGCACCTGGGGCCGGTCTGACAGCCCTAATCATTGGGCTGACAGCTCCGGCCGCACAGAGCCCCATGGGAGCAGGGGGAGCCTGCCGGCACAGCTCACACACGGCCGGCCGGGATCATAAAAATAAAACAAAAATGCGACGGGGGCGGAGCTTAGTGCGACGGGGCGGGGCTTAGCAGGGCGGGGCTTAGCGTGCGGCGGGGTCTGGCTGACTGCAGCATGGGAAGCAGGAAGGAGTCCCTGCTTCCCCAACAACCAGCCTCCAGGAGCTCCAAGCAGGAGGGAAGAAGCAGGTCAGTGTGACTGTCTGTGAGTGTGTGACTGTCTGTGAGTGTGTGACTGTCTCTGTGTGAGTGTGTGACTGCCTGTGAGTGTGTGACTGTCTGTGAGTGTGTTACTGTCTCTGTGTGAGTGTGTGACTGTCTGTGAGTGTGTGACTGTCTGTGTGAGTGTGTGACTGTCTGTGTGTGACTGTCTGTGTGAGTGTGTGACTGTCTGTGTGCCTGTGAGTGTGTGCTGTGTGACAGTGTGTGACTCTCTGTGTGACTGCCTGTGAGTGTGTGACTGTCTCTGTGTGAGTGTGTGACTGCCTGTGTGTGACTGTCTGTGAGAGTGTGTGACTGCCTGTGAGTGTGGGACTGTGTGTGATTGTCTGTGCCTGTGTGTGACTGCCTGTGTGTGATTGTCTGTGTGAGTGTGTGACTGCCTGTGACTGTGTGACTGCCTGTGTGTGATGTGTGACTGTGAGTGTGTGACTGCCTGTGAGTGTGTGACTGTCTGTGTGTGATTGTCTGTGTGAGTGTGTGACTGTCTGTGTGAGTGTGTGACTGTGTGTGACTGTCTGTGTGAGTGTGTGACTGTGTGTGATTGTCTGTGTGAGTGTGTGACTGTCTGTGTGAGTGTGTGACTGTCTGTGTGAGTGTGTGACTGTCTGTGTGTGACTGCCTGTGAGTGTGTGACTGTGTGTGAGTGTGTGACTGCCTGTGAGTGTGTGACTGTGTGAGTGTGTGACTGTCTGTGTGACTGCCTGTGTGAGTGTGTGACTGTCTGTGTGAGTGTGTGACTGTCTGTGTGAGTGTGTGACTGTCTGTGTGTGACTGTCTGACTGAGTGTGTGACTGTGAGTGTGTGACTGTCTGTGAGTGTGTGACTGTCTGCGTGTGTGTGTGTGTGACTGTCTGCCTGTGTGTGAGTGTGTGGCTGTCTGTCTGTGTATGTGTGTGGCTGTCTGCCTGTCTTTGTATGTGTGGGTGTTTGCCTCGGTGTCAATGACTGTCTGCCTGTGTGTGTGTGGCTGTCTGCCTGGGTGTCAGTGACTGTCTGCCTCTGTGTGTGTGTGCGCGCATCTGCTAGTGAGGGAGCCTGTGTGTGTGTGTGTGTGTATGCCTGCTAGTGAGTTTGTGTGTGTGTGTGCCTGCTAGTTAGTGAGCTTGTATGTGTGTCAGTGAGCTTGTCTGTAGGGATCATATGTGTGTGTGTGTTAGTGAGCTTGTCTGTAAGGAGCATGGGTGTGTCGGAGCCTGTCTGTGGTGAGCATGTGTGTACAGTGAGCTTGTCTGTAGTAAGCATGAGTGTGCAGCCAACTATTTCCATTGCCTATATTTATATATATATATATATATATATAGGCAATGGAAATAGTTGGCTGCACTCTCGGATTTCCTGAAAATGTAACTTTTATTGAAATATTTAAGAGAAGATCAACGGTTCAGTCCCTCTTGTGGACTTTCGTCATGATCCTGACGAAAGTCCACAAGAGGGACTGAAACATTGATCTTCTCTTAAATATTTCAATAAAAGTTACATTTTCAGGAAATCCGAGAGTGCAGCCAACTATTTCAATTGCCTATATATATATATATATATATATATATATATATACACCCTACATAGCACAATGACTTATGGGGCTGGCATAGATTTTTTTCCAGGGCTGCTTCGTATCCCCAGTCCGGCCCTGTATATTGTCCCCTTTAACATATATATATTTCCTTTGTTCCAGTTGATCAAACACAATATGCTTTCATCTCCATTAACACTAGGTGCCGTTTCTCAGTCTCTTCACTTATATATGATAAAACATGAATAAAATATCTTGTTGTCACTTTTATACACGATTGTCAAATTGTTACTATTAATAATAATAAAACCTACTGTAAAAAAATGCAACTTTGACTTTTAGTCAAAGACTAATGGGTATTCATCGCCAACCACACTATAACTTAATATATAGACAACAGTGGCATTTATTTATTGCATTACTCGTTATTTAGAATTTTTTATTATGTTTAGTAAATATTCTGTATTATCGGACATGCTGTTGGCAAAGAATATATAGTTCGAATTTCCTTTTAATTCACTCCCCTTTTTGTATTTTTTTGTTTTTCCTTTTCTTTGTTATATCTTATAGGACGTCTTGCAGCTGGATGGAGCAAGCCCATCACACTTCTTTTACTGTCACATGGAGTCCCGCTGCTGTTACCTATTTACAGAGCAACTTGGGCGCTTTGCGCTGGTAGGAGAGTCCCTCAATATGGCGGCCACAAAGCGACTCAAGATTCTTCTTTTTGCTCCGAGCTCCTGTACATCATTAGAGTACAGTCTGCGCGTGTACTGCATCACCGACACACAAGATGCCATAAAGGTAAGCACAAAACATAGCGCAGTAATAATAATGAGATTTGTGAAGTGAACTTAAATGCACTAGTTTAAATAAAATCTCACCCAATAAATATTCACAACTGCTGGATTTGGAGCACTTTATTTTTGTAATATTTTTTCCAAAGTACCCAGAGTTCTATTGTTTATTTTATGTTTTATATTTATGTTATTTTTTTATGTTCAATTTTATGTATTTTTAGACTTATTAAACTTATTGATCATGTATCACTTAAGTTTCCAATAGTCTTCCCAATTCCCAACTGTCGTACAATGTTTAAATGCACTAAGCAGATATGCGAGTGCTACAGCAACTCCCTAAAATGTCTCTTGGTGGGAGCTGGTCATGCTGATGTGCATGCGCACCAGGATGACACAGAATTGGTTGTCATGGGCAGTAATGTCTTCAGTTTATGGGCGGTAACTTAGTCAGTGACACTAATTGTGTTGTGCACATACTGCTGGGTGTATTTAGTTGCATGCTGCCCAGTTTTGTTTTAGAACTACATATAACAATGCTACTTTTAAATGCTGTTATTTTGTTTTATATCAATAATAACAATATAAGACACAGACATCAATGCAGTGTAACGTGATCTATGGATTTTATGTCATATAAATAGTGATGTCCCGAACGGTTCGCGAACGGTTCGCCACGGACTCATCATTGAGTAAACTTTGACCCTGTACCTCACAGTCAGCAGACACATTCCAGCCAATCAGCAGCAGACCCTCCCTCCCAGACCCTCCCACTTCCTGGACAGCATCCATTTTACATTAATTGTGAAGCTGCATTCTTAGTGAGCTGTCCAGGAGGTGGGAGGGTCTGGGAGGGAGGGTCTGTTGCTGATTGGCTGGAATGTGTCTGCTGACTGTGAGGTACAGGGTCAAAGTTTACTCAATGATGAGTCCGCGGTGAACCGTTCGGGACATCACTACATATAAAATAATTAAAATGACAAAATGATAAAAATCTGTCTGCACGTAATAAAATAGATTAGTGTAAACAGGTTGAGAACTGCTTGTACATATTGTGCATTGTGCATATTATTGTACATGACAATGTCCTAGAAAACTGCAGTAGATTTCCAAGGCTAAGAGCTAACAGTCTAAATTACATATGCTGAGTGATAATTGCTAAATTAATCAAAAACACAATCCATTACAGCTAAGTGTCATCAAGGTCCTTTAAATTACCCTTTCATCTACAGGGAACATTACCTTAAAGGAGTACAACAGCAGAAACAAAGAACCTATTTTAACGCATTATATAGGTCAGGGGTGCCCAAAAGGTAGATCCCCCTTGATATTGTAGAACTACAACTACCATGATATTTTTCATGCCTTTGGAATGCCTTAAGCATGACAAAGCGTCATGGAAGGTGTCGTTTTAGAACATCTGGGGATCTAGCTTTTTGGCAACCCTGATTTAGATTATGCATTATGTTATGGTTAATTTATAGACGCAAGCAAGCCAGTATGTTAATGTAAACAATGATTCAAGTAATACAGGAAGAATGTCCATTGATGTAAACGTAATCCATAAAGGAACACTATAGGCAACCAGACCACTTCACCTCAATTGTATTTTGAATGCATGTGCACATTAGAACAGAACATGTTTGACTTGACAGATTCTCATTAAGAGATCTAGATCGATGTGTTTTGATTCAGCGTTCTTGTTCATGGTATGGTTAGGTATGGAAGAGTTAAAATCCCTGATACAATGTGTGCAAAAGGATGCTAGATCTGATGGTTTATAACGAGCGTAAAGACTTTCCCGGGAGCTTGGAAAGACTCGTGGTTTATATAATAAAAAAAAACAACACCTGGGGTAGTAATGATAACAAAAAAGAAAAGCAGAGCAGAAGCTTTGCTTGGCAGACATCAGAAGAAAGCTGTCTTATACAATGCTTTGTCAGGTAATGAAAGCTGCAAAGCAATCAAAGCAAAACTATGCTCCTACAGTTGTGAAAAGGAGTCATAATTTAATCTTCTTAGAAGAGTGAATTAAGATTAATCTTTACAATTCCAGTATGCCGTTTTCTTCTCTTTATTGTTTATGCATGTGCTAACAAGCCACTTATCACCAAGGCTCAGTTACATCCTTCTTTCAGTATTTATGTGGCTATCGGGCCCGTAACAAGCTTTCACTAAGACAATCTTCCTCTGATGAAATCAAAAGTTCATCAGCTGTATAGGAAGGCATGTGCGGCAGGCGACGGACTGTGAATGTCTTTTGCCAGCTGTGCCCACTTTGAGTTACGTCCCTTGGAGGATGGCAGCTAGACACAGCTGTGGGGTCACGTAACACCCGAACAATAGTGCACACATGCACGTCCTCGCTCATGTCTAGATGTACAATTGTTTCCTTCTCAAGGTTCATTGTTGTATTTTTTGTTAGGAGATGTTTACTGTGAGAGGTTCCAACCCAAAGCCATTTTTAGACCAAGTAAGCTATGCAAGTGTATGCAGATCTGCCGAATATTTAGCCTAAATGTTCACTTTCATCCCGCAGGAAGTGATACAGCTTGAAAAACAACAGGGAGGACAACTGATGGATGAGCCACGTCTCCTGCATTTCAAAGACAGTTACCACAACCTGCGCCTCTCTGTGCACGATATGCACAGCACGATGTGGAAAAGCAAACTCCTGGCCAGCTATCAGGCATGTTACAACTTAACCGTGTTGTGTTGTGCTGCATTCCTTTAACCCAAGGGACGGAATGGATTGGTCACATGATGAAAGGGATATCATGCCAGATCCATGAGAATGTTTACAAACTGGAGTCCAGAAGCTATAGGTTAAATGAGAAATGCTGGTCTAATTTGCCAGCATTCCATATTCATTAGGGGCATTCTGAGTGGCAAAAAAACCTTTTAGGACTAAAATCACATTGTTTACACAGCCCTAGCCACACCTTCAAGTGCTGTGATACACACAGCCTCCCTACACACCGTATAAAAGAGTCTACATTTTTAGCTTTCCTTATTACACAATCTGTTTAATTTCGGATGTCTTATCTCCTGCTCTGTTACTTGTCTGAGTAACCATGCAACAGCCTCCTGTGTGTAATTAAAGGTCAATTAACAGAGCAGGAGATTTAAAAAAAAAAAAAAAAACAGCTTCTAAAGTAAACACTCTGTGCTATAAAAATGTAACTTTTCATGGACGCTATGCGAAACTGTAAATATTATGAAACAGTATGAATAATTCCCCCACTTATTCTGTACGAAAGGTGGCAGGACTTTTACGCCACCATACATTTGGCGGTCCTCTGAAATGGAAATTTCTGCAAAAACTGGTGGTATTTACTATAAAGAAAACTGTCACTTTTTAGATAAAAAAATAAATACAATAGAAATAATGACATCATTGAACTGCCACTTTTCAGAACACATTGATAATTATATCCCAAACTATTTCAGTCAAATTGCTTACTGTAGGTACACTTCTCTAGTGTACACTAGCGATAGTCCAATAAGTTACTTTTAGCATACATCACAATTGAAAAATAAATCAGTGGGCACCAAAACCACTACACCCTGCTATAGTGTTTATGATGCCAGAAGTATTCTGGTACTATCCCGCAATAACGAGTTAGTAGAGACGTACTGGATACCGTACTCACCAAATAACCCAGATGCTCTGAAGCCAGGGCTGGCCAGGCCTCCCTTCTAAGATATGCAGAATAAATAACGGTTCAGGCACTCTGGGATAACAAAAATAGCAGCATTATTGGAGCAAAAACAGCAACGTTTCGACCCTACCAAGTGTTTATCAAGCTTAAAAAAGATCCAGTAAGGTCGAAATGTTGCCCCAATAAAGCTGCTATTTCTGTTATCCTGGAGTGCCTGAACTGTTATTAATTCTCCAATTAGGAGTTAAATACATTCTGTAAAAAGTGTGATGCTTATCTGAATGCACCTGGTTCCCACAGCCTCTTTCTCATTTATCTGCATAAGGTTTGTGCAATGTTTAGTAACATTCATTGG